TACCATCTAAAAGTATTTTTTGATTTTCAATAACAAGCAAAATGTCAAGTTGTAAAAAGCAAATCAATCTATCAATCCAGAAATTGTACTACATTTACCAATTTAACTACTTTCACCACTAGGTCATCTCATAGTTCCAAATTAGCTGGTATGTGTAAGTGTTAACCAGAAATAAGCACTTTTTTTTTAAAGAAAGACTTCTAAATATTTGCTGCAACGAGAAAAAAACTCTTTTCTCGTTCTTTTGCTTTCACTCAGAAAATGTAAAAGTAAAATTTACTTAAAAAAAAAAAAATTATGCTTCTTAGAAATTTTTCTAGCTGTGCTCACAAGCATGCTGACAAAAAAATTCATTTTTAATTAATTTTATTCAGTTATTCATTTTCAAATATAGGAAGTAAATAAATGCATTTTTGGCAAAAAAGATTTTCTTTTTTCTTTGTTTTTTTTTTCAAAATTATATCTCTGATATTTTGCTCTCAACCCAATTCTTGTATATTTTACAGATTTTGTGAATTCCCTTTAGTGTTTTCAATGTTTCATACCTATTCACTACATACAGCATTCCAATTTGACACTCTTTTTAGAGAAAACACTGTCCTCCTGGTTGGTCTTTTAAATTTGCTGTAATAATATCCTTTATTAAATTATTTCCTCAATTGTTTTCATTTTCTTTGTTATCTGCATGTTAGATAATGCATAGTTAAAATAATTTTTAATTTGTTTAATTTTGGCATGTGTTGATGAAGTTTAAATGGTTAGTACTGCCTGAGATTCTTGTGTTGTCTGCTTACTCATACACTTCAATTCATTCATGTCATTAATTACCATTTATATATTCTTAAAGTTGTCTTTTCCAATAGCAATCAATCCATGTAATTTAGGATTTACTGTTTTACATTTTTTCATTCTCTGCTGAACATTTCTTGTAACAAGTTTAAGGAAAATTCTGTTTCTTAAATCTTTTCTTATGAAAAATAATTTTTCAAGTTTTCTGCCTTAATTTAGTATTGAAAAATTATCTATAGGTTGATAAAACTATAATTTTTGGTTGTGGGTTGGATATAACTTAAAAATTACTTCATTCAAGTTGTTTTTTATTCATTTTTTTTATTTTGTTTTTGTTTTAATGTATAAAACAACTTGTCAGATATTTGTTAACCAAAACTCTAACACAAAAGTCTCTCAGCAATAACTTGTGACATGAGCATATAAACTATTAATCTGATTCAGATGGTCTTTAAACTTTTTTATCACAAATACAAAACTTTGTCTAACAAATTGAAATCTTATTTCTGGTTATTTTAGTATTTTCAAAAATCTACAGTAACTATAGTACAAGTATTTGTGGTTTTTGATAAAATTGCACTCAAATTAATATCAATTATTGATATAAAACAAAGTTAAACATGTTCTAAGTTGACCTTAAAATCTCTGAAAACCTTAAACCTAATAGCTTTAACTCAAAGATTTGACAACTACATAAATTTACTGTTGGGAAAGAATAAATTGACAAATAAAACATTTATTTATGAGTGTTACCAAATTCTCAGAACAGATTTTTTTTCTGGACATGGACACTACTTGGTTCTGTCAAATTTAAGTATATTTACTACTTATTAACCTGCAGACACTCATTAGGCTCAATGGCATTTGTTTTTATGTCTGACTTCCTGTCTGAAAATTTGTGATTCATTTAGTAAAAACTGTATTGATGCTTATATCATTTTATCATTCAGTTTTATGTCATCATTTTAGTGTAAAAAAAAAAAAAAAAGATTGAAACCTCCAACCATCTTCTATATTGTAAGATCTTTTCCCTAATTAAATTTTAAAAATCATATCACCTTCCCTACCAATTCAACACAGAAATTGTAACTGTCAACTATTTGACTACTTATGTAGTCATCTTGGCTTTATATTCTGTTTAATCTCAGACTTTACCAAATTGTAGGTACAATTCTTTTTTTCCTCAGATCTTAAAGAAAAGCAACATAATTATTGGTTTATATCAATATTTGCTGCTTTTTTGTTATTATTGTTACTATTGTAATAATAATAATAATAATAATAATAATAATAATACAACTAAAAAAATATGTGAGAATTAGAAGAATTTTGGCATGTGTTTTCAGGCTAGCAGAACTTCTGCCAAAAAATGCTCAATAGGCAATTGGAACTATAATATTCAATAAATGAAAAGTTCAAGTGACTTATCTGGTTAACCAACTGAAGAGTTTTGCATTGAACCACTCATCTATTTATTATCAATAAATTCTTTCACAAGGACAGAATGTCTTTAATAAATTGTTTCCAGTATCTGTATTAATTTTACTAATAACTATATTTAGGCAAGAGCTTGAAATATCACTGAATTTATCAATGTTGAAATTAGTCACTTTTTTGAATGGGTGACCAGTTGATGATAAAAGAAAATGAAGTTAGTAAAATACACTGAGTCATTTTATTTGGCTTGTATTTCTCCTACTACAGGATGTTTTTTTTTTCTTTTTAATTCATATGCTTTAGGGTCATTCATGATCTTTGATTCATGCTCTTTATGGTGATAGGTTAACTTGTGGTCTTTATTTGCTGACTATAATTTCACTTCTCTCTTTCAGCTGCTTACAATTTATATATCCCAGCCTATTTGATGTGTTCATTGCTAAATACTGTTATTGCTTTTGTGACTTTAGTTATATTTAATTTTTTTCCCTTTTCTACCTTAGGACGTTAGAAGCTTTTGCATGCATTGTTTTTATAATAAATATTTTCTGTTATTATCTTCTAAATACTTTTTATACTCCTTATACTTTGTTCTTGTTCACAGTCTGGTTTTCTTAATTTAAAATAAAGAACACAATTCATTAATTTTATCATTAATTTTATCAAGTCTTTTGAAGATCTTTTCTCTTTGCATCAGGTAGAAACCTTTATTTACTGGTTTATTAAAGCAATCCTTTTTTTCATTTACTTGCTTAAATCTAAACATGCTTTTCATTTTTTAAGCTATTTTTCATTTTAAATAAACTTGTTTCTCAGCAAGTGGAAGCTTTTTAAAAACTTTGCTTTAAAAGTATATATCTGCAGCTGTTTAGATTAAACCAATCTATTTTTCCTGATGAAAATGCATGACACTGATCAGAAGTTAATAGTTTATTTCTTTCTCTCTCACAATTTTAAGTCTCTCTTTTAAAATTTTTTTATGTAATTATCTCTGGTGGGAGCTCATTACAAATATTATGATGCATATTTTTAATGGATAGACAACAGAGTGCACACTTTTACCAACAATAAATGTAACAACTGAAATAAGAAAAAAAAAAAAAAAAAGTCAAAAATTTATATTCTATTTGTTACTTTAAACTCAAATGGCATGAGTTGTATAGAGGCAGTTCAGAAACTGCTCAAATCCTCTCCATTTGCTGCATACTGGTAGAGATGAAAAATTCAACAAAGAGGTCACAATCTGTTTTGTTGACTTTCACAAAACCTCCAACTCTATGGTATAATCTCCAGAATTGTTGAGGCAATTAGAGCTCTGTACAGAAAATCCACTTCCACCATTCTATCAGCTGATAGTGAGACTGATTCCTTTGAAGTTAAATCAGGAGTTCTACAAGCAACACACTTGCTCCTTTTATAGTTGTTCTGGACTATGTTCTGTGTATTTCTCTCATCAACATGCAGGAAAAAGGACTCCTTTTGAAGCCTCGCCTTGCCAGAGAAGTTGGTACCCTCCATAATACCTGACTGACCCTGACTTCGCTAATGATCTTGCATTAATTTCTCAATGTAGCAAGGATGCAGAATCCTTGCTGCAATCACTTAAGCAAGCAGCAAACCAGGTAGGTCTCTATTGCAACAAGAGTAAGACAGAATGCATCACAACTTCCCTTGGACCATCCGAGTTGAAATTACTCAATAATACATCCATGAAAAAGTTGAGGACTTCAACATCCACAAAGCTCGTGCATGGGATATGCGTAACAAACCTGACAAGGTTTGGTGTTAAAATATTCCATCCTCCTTAAAAGTCCAAACCTTTCGAACACTGAATGAACCAGTCCTACTGTATGAATCAGAAACTTGGACATTATCTGTTCATCTTGAAAAACAACTGGATGGAGCATATACAAATCTACTAAGAAATATCCAGAATATCAGTTGGAGATCCCATGCAACACTTAACACAATCTACAGAGAGCTGAGACCAATCTCTCTTAAGCTCAAGCAAAAACGACTAGTTTGCTGACCACTGTCATTGAGCAGACAGGTAAGTCATCTCATCCTTACTCCTATAGCATCCTTCTGGAAGTGTCTTCACATGAAAATTGATTTTCCCAGACACCATAGCTCAGGATTCAGGTTAGACATTGGGGATCTGGGGATAGCAATACAGGACTGAACAGTGTGGAAAGGGATTGTCAATGGAATTCCAACCAACCATAGGGAGGTTGAATGATGAGGATGTCATAGGAACATGATTGTATTCAAATACTTATTCCATTTTACTTGAGTGATTTGAAGTATAAATTAAACAGGGAAATTTATGAATTTACTGTTGGCTGTGATAGTGAAAATTTCAAACTAATTTGATCATTCTTTTTGTTGGTGCCATTATCCAATATTATCCAAGGGACTTAACTCCTTTTTTCTGTACGAAGATCTATCTGTATAATGAGTTAACCCACTACAAATATTTTCACGGACAGTTAGTCTCCTTTCAGCTCCTCATTGTAGATATACTATTTATAAATTAAAACTTCAAGATTTGCCTTTAAAACATATAAAACATTGTCATTTAATCTTTGACTAACAATTTTAATTATGAACTCTTTTTCACTCCTGTCAATTACTCTTGTTTGAACTTTGTTGGAAGAAGTGGTCATTCTGTCTGTTTATCCTCTCATCTGGTTGCTTATATTCATTTTGATATAACATTATCATCATGTTTGAGATATATAATATTTCTAATTCCCTTTTCTCTTTTATTACAGACTACTAAAAGCTGAGATCACGCCTCCTATGTATAGCAGAAGCAGGCCATGCTTTAGTATATGTAAGTGTAGGTTTGGACTGTAAATGAGGTCTGTGAACCCATATACTTCTCTGCAGCCAGTAATGACATTGTAAACTCTTGGTAACAGTACATTAGGTGTGGTCACCTCAGTAGAAGCAGATTTTGGTAAAAAAATAATTACTACAATTATTTCTACTACTATTCTTATTATCACTACCATATTGTAATTATTCAAAGAATGAAATATGTTTTCCCAAAATGGACTAATGATAGTTACATTTATTTATTTATATTTTTTTTCCATTTTGAACAGTTATAGTCACCCTAAAACTGCAACCTAAGAAATCTGGAGACATCAACTCTTTTTCTTAAAAATAAACATTTTTAATTTTACTTATTTACTTGTTTTTGTTTATATCAGGCTCTAGAAAATAACTGTAAATTTTTCAAAATATTTAATATTAATTTCTAATTTTAAAATATCTAAAGTACAGCTTGTTATGATACTGTAAGTTTAGAGAATCAACCACATATTAGATTCTCTTCAGCACATCTACTTGTTTTATGCTCAGCAGCTCAGTGAAACCATCAATGGACACAGATAGTTGTATATAAAACTACTGATGACCAGTGGGAAATATTCAAGTAAAAATAATAATAAAAAAAAAGAATGAGAGAAATGTTCAACATTTTACTCCTGTTTATACTTGGATAAAATATAATTTGACAAGGAATACTAGTTGTTTTTAAATCAGTTTTTCTTTTTATCTTTCTAACTTTTTTTATAGAAAAATTGTTAGTTATCTAATTTATATTAGATGAAAAACAAAATAAAAAATATGGAGAATAAGTTTTGTTTCTCAAGAATAAATGTTATAAATCTGCACATGAATTTCTATCAGATCAGTTAATTCATTCATGTTTTCTCTGTTTATTTTTTTTTACTAGGAAGAAAATTTATGGTTCTACTTACATTAAATATTCTCTTTAGATTATTTGAAATTAACATTGGAGTTATTATTTTTTGCATGAATGCTTAAAACAGATCATATTATTAATGTTGATAATAGAAGTACACTTAAAACAAATCATATTAATAATGTTTACAATACTTAAAACAGATAATCATCCAGTGATAAAATCAAATTAACAAAAACTAACTTTGTTTCATCAAACCTATCAATAAAGCTAACACAAAATAATTTTTCTTTAGCATATCCTTCTTTTTAACTTAGTATTTGCTATTTATGCTCCTGTATTCATTCATGGAAATACAATACAAATTTTAATTCTCTTATAGTAATAACTTTTATTGAAATGCCACACAGAGTACATGAGTACGTGAGATAATGTAGTTTTGAGATTTAAAAAGTAAAAAAAATAATTCTTTTTTTCATATAGGAAAAGTTTTAGTAATATTTTGTCATACACTTGAATGCATTCAATTATTTTCTTGAGAATTTTATCAATGTAAGAATATTTTACGAGCATGTTATTTTTTCATAGTTACCAAAAACTAACTTCAGTGGACAGAATTTATCTCAAGTAAGATATATTGTCCTTTGGTATTGGTGATAATATAATGACATTTTACTAACAGAAGGAGTGATCATTATTTCATGAATGCCACAACAGAATTTGCACTGCTTAGTGGGGATGGAGCAAGAAAAGCCTAAATGAATATGGTTCTCAGGTCCTTTATTCAATGAAACAGGTTTGTGGTGCACTATAAATACTTCTAGTGTTTAGTCATAAAAAAAAAAAACATGGAAATTTATTTGTCTCCAAGACTTGTCAATATGTATTTTTTCTATATTGAACTCTTATCTTCATTTCTGTATAATTCAATTACAGAAAACCTCTTACTATGCCTGATATTGCGCAAGCTTACAATGATTGTTTAATTATCTCCCCTGTTTACATTTATATCATGAAGAAATACTAATTCTTGCAGTAATAAAATTATCTTTTTTCATACTGTTTGATATTTCAAAATTAATTTCCATGTGTGCCTAAAATAACTTGTATATATTTCTGATTGTAGTTCAACCAGATAGTAAATATGATTTTTTTCTTATATATGTGTTATGCATTTGTTAGTAATCTCAAGAAGAAATAAAACTTGATAGTAAGCAATTTGTACATTTTTTTGTAAGTATTGCTTCTAGTAAAAATCTTTTTTTCTAATCATCTGCAAGCAGAACTTATGCATAACATGTAGTTGTTCATGAGTTATTTTTCAGATAAAGTGATGAATACTTTTTTCTGGCTTTTATTATTGAAAAGTTACCGGAAATTTCATTTGATAAGAGTAGGAATGTACTCAAGTTGCTTTCTAATATTTTTCTCAGAAAATTTCTTTAGAAATTTTTTGTTCATCTTTAATGTAAGGAAAGGAAATAATAACTTTCATTGAAAAGCAAAATGTTTGGTTTATTTTAGTAGCTGGATGTCAAAGGATGTTTGGAGTAGACATGTGAAGAATTGATTCATTTATTTCTCTGATGGTGATAGATGTTTGTTTTTCCCCAAGAGTTTCATAAACTTCCAATCATGAAAAGCAGTATAAATCTTTTTTCAGTTTTTAAGAAAAGCATGTAATAATGCTATTTTTTTTTTTTTTTTTATTGTTTCATGTACAGAACTTGTTCTTAAGCATTTTCAAAGTTTATATATATATATATATATATATATATATATATATATTGCTCTTCACATTTCATTTTCTATCTAAAATGTTAAATGCACCAATTATAAACTTGAAAATGACTCATCTGTTAATATTTACAAAAAAGACAGACAATACTTTGTTTTCGGAAATATTTAAAAAAAACAAAAACAAAACTTCTTTTCCATCATACATCATCACCATCTCTTTATTATTTAATAACACTTTACTTGCAATTGCACCTGACTTTAAAGTCTATATGGGAATCTGAATTGGTTAATTTTTTTTTTTAAACCTTTATTAAAATACCAAAAAATATGTTCACTGCCTCTTTTTTTTTTTTTTTTTAAAAAAAAATGAAGAATAAAAAAAAAATAAAGTTTATGAAGATATGATGATATGTTGTTGGGAAATTTTTAGCATCTGATCAAGTATGCCTGGTTTTATGGTCAGATCTTATGAATGAATTGAAACAGGCACCAAACACACGCAAAATACATATAAATATATATATATATATATATATATATATATATATATATATGCAACACTTATACCATTGAGTAACTTCATTAAGTATTTTATAGCACACATTATGTAAATGAAATAGATGCCTCAAAAAGATATTGGCTTTCAACCAGAATTGGTTTGTAACCAAAAACCTGTAAGACGACTTTTTATTTATTATTATTTTAAATGTATGTATCCATACATGCACACATATATATCTTTCATTAAAAATGACTGACAAGGTACCGTGGTTAAGTTTTTTATTTAATTTTTCCAGTGTTCCTGATCAATCCAAAATCATAAATAAATATATTGGATATACTACAACATACCTAACAAGACTACTCACATTTCATCTCTCTGAACATAGCTTAATTAGATCTCATTTAAATAGACATAGACACCTACAAAACTCCATCTGCAATATACTTGTTGATAATACACATATAATAGTCTCATCCATATGTTTAAAAAAAAAGAAAAGCCAACACTGAATAATATCAACTATGAACATGGTCACAATGTGGTGACTGTGTTTTGAAAATAAAATCATCCTTGGTAATGGATAAAAGTATAGCTGAAAGTGCTCGGACACACAGAAAATTCAGGCAATTTCTACATAATTTATGTCCAGAAAAGAAGAAGATTATAAGAACAGAAGAAAGATTAAATAAAGAACTTAACTGCACTACCTTGTCAGTCAAATTAATAAAACTTGTATAAAAGAGAGATTACTTATTAAATGCATTTTTTATATATATATATATATATATATATATATATATATATATATATATAATTATTATAAGATGTTATAAAAAAAAGATGTAGAAATCGCTATTTTACAAAAAAAGCTTTCATGTTTCAATACTATGATTTTACTCCAGGTGATGGTAAGTAAGTATGATTAAAAAATTTTTGAGAAAATTTAAAAAGAAACTGTTACTTCTTTTTTGAAAGTTAAAGGTCAGAATTAAAATTAGACTTGTTGGTATGCCTTGATTAACCAATTAAATGTCAGATCTATGCTAAATAGAAAAGTAAGCTCAGAGAATGGAGGTGGGTGAGTTATTTTTTTATGTCATTATAAACTGGAACAGACAGGCCATCACTGACGATTGAAGAAAATATGTCAGCAACGAATGTATCATGATTGTAGACAAATATGACATTCAATTTTTAAAAAGGGCATTGAAGGGAAGGTTAATCAGACATAAAGTTAACAGAAAAAAATTTGTTTTTGTTTAGATTTAGGACGCTTCTTAAAGGGGCCTGTAGATAAAATTAAAAATGTGGGACATCTATGTAAGATATTAATAATACTAACTGGATGGCAATACATAGCAATATTAAAGCTGAATAAACAACATATGGTAAAGAGGTAACACTGTAAATTTTCTCAAAAATCATTTAATCACCAGTTACTTATCATCACCTAAAGAAGTACAATCAAAGTATGGAAACCTGAAAGCTTTTGTGTAGTGATTTCAACATATTTTTTATTATAATCTCTAATAATAATAATAATAATATATTGCTCTACTTTGTATTGAGCACTTTAAAAAGTAAATGCTATCAACAGTGCAATTTTACTCCATTTGTTCTTTCTATCATTTGTGTGTGTGTGTATATATATATATATATATATATATATATAATCTCAAACATTATCATCATGTACAGCCTACTTGTCTTTTATGAAGAACATTATTTGTATTAAATTTAGAAGCTGTTCCTTTTGTACTTTCTAAATGATCCACCTAAACTTAGAGGAGATAGCGTCTTGGTTGTGATTTGATACCCAGTATCCCTAA